CGTGGCTACACGGCTTTCTCAAGATTTAGCAGCTTCTTCGACAATATATGATTGGGAAATAGCAATAAACTGTTACGATCTTGATTGAATCTCAATTAAAATTCTGTCGGCATCTTAAAATTTTATGGGTACACACTTTTTTCCGTTTTTCGCATTTTTCCCGGAAAAAATGGCGAACCTGTGCAGCGCCGTTGCTGCCTATGTCAGAAATCTAGCTCAAAAAGACTTGAGCTTTTCTCTAGCAAAAATTCAACACTATCTAGTACAATCTTTTGAAATCCAGAAGAATTCAGCAGAAATTAACAAGCATCATAATAATCTGAAACCAATCAGGAACACCTAAATCTTGATGGATCTTATTCTATCCTGTAAACCGCAGAACTCATTCAGATACTCAAAAGTTCATCGGGGCTCACCAGGCTCTCAATCTCTGAAATTTCTTTTTTCTTTGTTTTCAAAAATTCTAGGGCCAATTCTTCGTCTGTTTACTTTGTTTCCATGTATTCTAATAGCTTCGGAAGGAATCCAATAGATCGTGGGATGTCTCAAGGTCCGTTTTTCCTTTGTAAAGTAGACTAGTCATAGTTGTATAAATAGCACATGGTGCTCCCATTGATTCATCCAGAACATATTTTGAATTATGCATCCTTATTTTATGAATCTGGTTGATTTCCTTGCTTTTGTGGCTATTCAGAACATTAATCTATCTTCATAAATGATAATGAGTTCTAATGGATTCTGGTGGATCCTGATGGATCCTAATGGATCCTGATGGATCCTAATGGATCCTAATGGATCCTAATGGATCCTACTGGATCCTGATGGATCCTGATGGATCCTAGTGGATCCTGGTGGGTCCTATGGATCCTGGCGGATCCTAATGGATCCCAGGATCCACCAGGATCCGCTTTTTCCCCCTTGGGATTAAGGGTACAGTGTTAAGAGCATAGGGTTAAGGGAATAGGATTAAAGGTATAGGATTAAGGGTATAGGGTTAAGGGTATAGGGTTAAGGGTATAGAGTTAAGGGTATAGGATTAAGGGTACAGTGTTAAGAGCATAGGGTTAAGGGTATAGGGTTAAGGGCATAGGATTAAGGGTATAGGATTAAGGGTATAGGAACAAGGATGTAGAGTTATGAGTATATGGTTAAGGGTATACAGTTACCGATAAGGAGATAAGCGTAAAGTGATAAGAGTATAAAGTATGACGTTCTTAATGCATTAAAATGCATTTTTAACAATAATGAATGTAATTACATGATAATGCAACTCAAACAATGCATTATAATACGTTGATGTTTCAATGCATTGCAATGGGTTTTTATAAAAAATGCATTATAATGCATTATTTGGGTTGCGTTATCATGTAATTGCATCCATTTCATTTCTATTGAAAAATAATGCATTGCACTGTACATTATTTCTAAAAATCGGCTACATGGGACCCCGTGTCCTCTCATTTGCGAACATAAAATCGAAATTAAAAATCTGTTAAATTCAATTTCAGTTGTTTTTTAAATTTAAATTATTCAAATTTCAAATGATCTTAGGTTTGAAATTTTCGGTTTTCAAATTTCAATAAAAGTTACTGATAACAATTTTAAAACAAATTAAAATTTCAGTATATTTTAAAACTTGTTGAAAGTTATAGAGCTCACTAGATATTGAGTTTCACTATTTTTATTTAATGAGCTGTAATTTGTAGAGTGCGCTAAAATATAGTAGTGCTTTTTGTATTCTTAATTGACTGCAATTTATAGAGTTCGTCAGACATAATTGTTACTATGAATATCATCAGCTGTTTTTGATTTTGAGAAGACCATATAATTATGATAGTAAAATGGAATGAAACATTGAATGGAGATCACTGATTGGGGTGTAAAAGCATTTATAGCTCATGTAAAAATTTTTGCTAATTTAACGAAACTTTGTGACGTGAAAATTCGTTAAAAATTTAACGATTTAACGATTAAAAATGTTACAATTTTGATCATGAAAACGCGTTAAAAGTGCGCAAAATTAACGCGTTTAAACGCGTTTTCAAATTCTAACGATCTTTTTTTCGTTAAATCAGTACATTTTTAATGACTCTTCACACGTGAATTTATCGAAAACGCGTTAAATACGAAAGCTGGTATATGTTACCCCTCAGAATTTTTCATACATTATTATTTACTGCAAGTATGATGAACTTCCTTCAGTAATCAGTATCTTGCTTAGTTTCACCCACCTGAAGAGAAAAGTCCAGGTAATCAATTCAATATTGGTTGTACTTTTTAATAAGATGCTTCAGAAAGCATTGTTATCACTATAAATATTTCGTAATAGATAGCAAAACCAACGAGGAAGTACAATATATTTTTTTTATTTTGTCGATATCTCGAAAGTGAAACTATTTATGGCTTTACGTGCTACAATTTTGCATTCTTGTAGGTACTAGAAATGTATTCCATAGTTGACAGAAATGATAAGACTATTGCTAGTGTAAAATCTGGGATATCGACAAAGTAACAAAAAATATTTTACTCTTTGATTTGTTTCGCTATCAATTACGAAATATTTTTAGCGATAATAATGTTATCTTAAGCATCTTATGAGAAAGTACATCCACTATTGAATTGATTAGCTGGATTTTTCTCCTCAGACGAGTAAAACTTAGCAAGATATGGATCATTGAAGAAACTTCATCATATTTGCGGTGAATCACAATGTATGAAAAATCCTGAGAAGTAATATATTCATTAGCTTGAACTATGGAAAGACAGATTACATGAACTAATATAATTAATTACCCCTTTCGTCTTAACTTAGTTTATCAGCTTACGTATTTAACAGAGATGAACCAGTCATAGTTTTCATATTAGATCTAGATTCTATAAGCGAAAAACTCAACTCAGCTCCACTCAATAGCGTAAAAGAGGAATTTATATCAATACACACTTATATAGGTAGTATGTAGCTCGAGTGAGAAAGTAAAAATATCACAGGTGTGAAAACGAATGCAGCATTTAACGATATATAATGAGTTAGTTACCATTAAAATGACAATCACGCGCGAAAAAACGTGAAAAATCTAACGCGTTAAAACGAATTTTCCAAATCTAACAAAAATTCATGAAAATTTTCTTCGTGAAACTTCATTAATTTGCCTATGAAGGCAACTTTTGACCTTAACTGGAGCAATTATTTCGCTAAACGTTTTTTTATCATGCGGAGCAGAAATGGTGATGATGTAGGAAGTATAGAATTACATTTCTTTGATATAAAACCCGTAGTAAATTTTAAAGAAAAACTGAAAGAGGATTATCTTTGTCTAGGATTAATTCAAGTAGTTTTGCTAGCGATTAATACAAAGTAGAGATTTCTCTAAAGGAGTGCGGCCTAATCTGATAAAAAGCTTTTGATATCTGGACTGATATAGTCCAGAGACACACTTGATATTTCGTAAATATAAGCCTTTCAAGATGATTTTTGTGTAATGTGCATAAACAAATATGTTACACAAAAAATCATGAATATTGTACGCGTGAAAACAATTAGTAGATTCAATGATGAATAATTAAATGACGTTCATTAACAATTAAGATTTTCATTAAAACTTGTTAAAATATTTCACTCGTGAAAACAGTTACTAGATTTAACGAGAATCAATCAGTTAAGTTTCGTGAAAAATACAGAAATGCATGAAAACGCGTTAATATGTTTAGCGCATAAAAATGAATACCAAGTTCAACGATATTTAACATGGTAAGATTGATTAAAAATAAAAAAACTCAAGAAATATCGTTAAACTTCTTAACGCATGAAAATGAATGCAACGTTTAACGATATATAATGAGTTAGTTATAGTTAAAATGACAATCACCCGTGAAAAAGCGTGAAAAATCTAACGCGTTTACACGAGTTTTCGAAATATAACGAAAGTTCATGAAATTTTCTCCGTGAAATTTCGTTAATTTGTCTTTTAACGCATTTTTTTTTTGTGTTAATTTCAAGACTCATTTCGTTTAATACCTTTTTATTTTTACATCGGAGACAAACGTCCTAAATACAAATAATGATGTTCTAAAAAAGACGGCTCAGAAATATAGATATTAATGAGCGCCTTCTCTTGACGAACGCAGTCCGATTCGCCCACACCACAATTGGAACAAATATCAAATTATCACAAAAAGTTATGATACAATCTCGTTAAAAACTCGTTTTGTATCTAACTAAAAACGTTCTTAGTTCAGCCCAAATCGACGATGGAATGTATGAAAAAGAAATAAGATCATTTGTATTTTTCACACATAAGATTATACATTCATACATAGAATAAATCGTGCATTCTAAGTTTATTACGTTATTTTATTGTAGGAATGGTACAGCAACATTTAACTTTATACGTTTTTACGCATTTAGCTTTCAGTTGGTAAAAAACTCAGAACAATAAATTTGTTGTAACGTATCCGTAGCATGCAGTGTATGCTTGATATTTTCCTCTTCTTACTACTTCTTCTCATCTTATGGATTATCCTTATATTTTTGGCCTTACGTCGTACATCGTACTGTACTTTGTCCATACCATATTATGCTTATCTTCTCTCCTTGTTATCGTTTACTTTCCTCTTCTTTCCTTCTCTTCCATGGAAGAGTATATAAGCGTATGCTTTGTATGTAAACGATGCGATTCTTGATAGGAAGAAATACAAGAAAGCGTAGTTCCATCAGCGCTAGCTCTTCTTCCATCCAAAAATCGACACATTTGTGTCATAACTACGTCGTTTGTTTTTCATTCTTCAGTACTGATGTTGACTATTTTTAGGTATTCACGCACTATAAATACTTGCGACTTGCTTACAACATTCATTATATTTACAAGAAAAAAAAAGGTAAGAATTGTTGTTTGTTTCAGCCTATTGGCTACAATGAAGGAATGTTTATTAATACACATTACTAAAAAATCGTCGCTATTTATTGTTTCTTTTAATTTTCAGATATATGATCGACTAAAATCATGAAACTTTCAGGTATATTATTATGTATTATTATTCTCACGGCATCATGCATTGAAGGTGGTCCAGCGGCTTATGCTCTATGTCAAGCTGGATGTGCGGCAGTCGTTGTTGCATGCTATGCAGCAGCAGGTGCTGTATTTGGTACTGTTACCGCTGGAGCTGCTACAGCACCAGCTATACTGGCTTGCAACATAGCCTTTGGAAAATGTTCGGCAGTTTGTGCAGCTATAGCATTAACGCCAACACCTTAATAATAAACTGTGACGTTACCACATTTATATAAAAACAATCTCACTTTTTTTCTATTATTGTATCATAGAAGCTGATCTATTAGTAGTGACCAAAAAATTTTTTCATTTATTGCTTTTTATTCAATAGCAGATCGTATTGATATCGTATTGTTCCAATGTATATATTGATTGAAAATATGTATTTGCTAGCTATTTTATTTTTTTAAATAGAATAAAATGTATAACATTTATATATGCCACTTTTCGACAAAAAAAATTTATGCATTGTTTTATGAAGTCTAGACTTAAGATTGTGAAAAAGTTAGATGAATTGTGTTTTTATGTCTCTCATTCTTATATTTTAAAAAACGAAAGCATTTTTGTTTAATTATGTAACGGAAGATTTATTGATCGAAAACTAACACCTATTCAGCACACAGCTATAAGAAACGATTACTATATCGAACAGTTTACAATTAAGTGTTTTTTTATAAATGTATAATTGTATGAATGATGAGCATCTAAAATATAATTTACAGAATTATATTTTAGAGGTTGAGATGTTTTTTGAAATATAAAACTACCTTGAACTCTATGTGTAATAAATAGAGTAATTTCTAAAACTTCGAAGAATAGCTCGACGTTGAACGTAAATTTCTTTTATGTTATTTCGATTCTTTCAACAGCTTTTTAATGAGGTTTATAGTTTGTTTTCTATGTTGTAGAAAAGGCGAGATATTTTCTCTTCCAAGATCGGTAATTATTAAAATCGTTCCGAAAGACTTAGGGCAACCCAAAAGGAGTGTCGTCACTATCTTATTTCCTTATAGTAAGCACAAAGAAATTTTATTTTCTTACGTATAGTGAAATAGAAAGTGATACTCTATTTTTCTGTGATATTTGATCGATTTTCACTTAATATCAAAATAAAAAACATTCGATAAGAAGTCTTCTTGTTGAAAACTAGCTAGTAGCATTAGATGATACGGGGTGACCCATAAGTAACGTAACACTGTATTTTTTCAATTTCTTTCTTATATATGATCAGTTAAGGCTTAAATTTATACCACAAATACATCTTTGATTACTCAACTTACTATGAAAGCTTAACCATATAGATCAAGACTTTGTTGAGAAAAGTACAAATATGTTACATGTACTCGAACAACAGTGAACCAACATTCGCTGTTTTTCAGCTCAATTTTCTTTTTTTGCTACATAAAACAAATGTTTCTAACGTCATTCTTACTGTTCAAAGCTTTTTGAATTGAATTATTCGAACGACGCCTAAAAGAAACCTACAGAAGCAGATTCATTCATCAAAAACTGCTGTTATCGAGAACTGAAGAAGAAGAAAAGTGAGCCGAAAAACAGCAAATGTTGGTTCACTGCTGCTCGAGTACATGTAACATATTTGTACTTTTCTCAACAAAGTCTCGATCTATATGGCTGAAACTTTCAGAGTAAGTCAAGTAATCAAAGATGTATTTGTGGTATAAATTCGACCTCAAGCTGATGATGTAGAAGGAAGAAATTGAAAAAATACTATGTTACGATACATATGAACCACCCTGTATGATCTTTAATATTAAGTAAAGACCGATCAAATACCACAGAAAAATAGAGCATCATTTTTTCTATCACTACGTAAGAAAAGAAAATTTCTTTGTGCTTACTATAACGAAATAAGATAGTGACGACACTACTTTTGGATTGTCATACGTATTAATTGTTCGATAATATGTTTAAATCTAAGTTAAGATTAAATTTTCCTAAAAGTAAACAGGTTTATAGAAGGTCTTTATTTTCTTTTCTTTCTTCTTATTTTCAGCCGTTTTATTAATATTCTCGCCAAAGGATGGCTGTAGATGTGGGTACAGCTACTCTAAAGAACAATATTTTTCCTCCCCATTAATCTGTTCCACTTGTGATATTTGCTTTACGATACGAGATACAAAGTTCTTAAGTCACTTTCATCCTCACGGAAGTTAATTCGCTTTCTTTATCAATGCACGAAGAAAGAACTAAGTAATCAAATCATGACATTGCAAAAGACTATCTGTACTTCAATTTTTATCAAGTGCATGTTATTCATATTTTATTGAATATCCGACACTTTTCGAAAACGATTCTCAGAAGAAGTGAAAGATTTATTCAATGCCGTCATTTTTTTTTTCATTCATTTTGATTACGTTTGACTTCTATTGAGGAACAGTTATACTGAGACAAACTATCAGTCTTAAAAATAATTCTTGACGACCCAAAAATAAAGTTTTTTTTTGTGAATTTTTATTCAATCGATGTTTTCAATGACAAAATTAACATTCAGAAATGCTATATTGTATAAAGGAAACGCTTGTTTCTAAATAAATAGTGAGCTTTAAATAATCAATCATATGCGCAAGGTAATAAAATGAACAAGAACCATTAGAATTGAAATCATTTGAGTGTTAAATAAAGTGTGAGGTACGATTGGAGACGACGTTGATTTGTAAACAAGTGTTTGCCTTGAGCCACAGATTGGGAAGTCTTTGGGTGGAGGTTGAATTAAATGTCGATAAGCACCATTTTGGCTAACTGAGAAAACGAGTGCCATACCAGGTGAAATATGCCAATCCATATGACAATGAATAAACCATGGACCAGCGTTGTCGGCTGTAAAACGAAAGACGACATAACTATCTCGAGGCATGTTGAAGGAATCGCCTACAGTTAAAACAGGCGGTGTTGAATTCAGTGGCGCTAGTAACGAATCAAGATCAATATCCATCGATCTAGATATCGATCGATTACAAGCGGGAAGTTCTTTGTTAGGAAGTTTACCGGCAGCAATAAAATCTATCGTATAACCGTGCAGATGCCACGGATGTTGTTGTGGATCATTATTGATCATTACTACTTCGTAAGTTTGACCATACTCGAAATGTTCAATGTAAGTGGCATGAGTATTATTTACACGACCAGGATATTCTTCAGCCAAAATGTGTTTATCGGTTCCATCAAGGAAAATACCTTGAAGAAGAGGTTCTTTCGGTGGTTCAAATGTGATATTGTTGACAGCCCACTCTTCTAAAGCATCGATACCAATTCTGTTATTCCAATGAACAACAAAAGTAAGAATCACTCGTCGAATGGCAGGTTTAGCTCGACGTGGTGACAATGGTTTCAGATATTTGTATTCAAAGAATGGGTCTTCAGGATCGATTTTCATCTGTTCATTGATGTTTATTGTGCGTGTATTGACTTTCGATTGAGGATAAGCGAGTCGTGCGGTTGTCCACATAGTGGGTGTTGGCCCAGTGATTATTTCCGGTGGCTGAAAACTATTTCGACTGGCAGCAATAATTTCATAAGCAGATGTTGGATCTTGATTACAGTTTATGATCAAATCTAATCGTTGTCCAATGGGAATGTGTAAATATGAAACACTAACAGGTTCGATTTCGACTCCGTCTCGAGCGACAATAGTAAGATTATGTTGATCGATCCAAAATCGAAATGGAATGCCACTAGCCGCGTTAATTAATCGTAAGCGCATTTCTTTTCCAGGTAAACATTGAAATTCATCGATCGGATGTGCATTCGGAATGCAAGGACCAAAAAAAGAACCGCGAAGTGGAATGCATTGAACTGGAAAAACATTGCCACACGTATCTTTCCAGGTATCATTTCTTGAGCAATCATAGGTGCGACAATCAAATCGGCCATGACCATTGATAAGAAATGTCGTCGGAGGCCATGGATATATTGCTATGCTACCAGGATAGGCACCGTGAGGACCTTGATACGCGGTCATGATATCTGGCCATGTCTCGTGATACCATTCTTGAAGCATAATAATTTGATCATTCAATCCATAATCATAGCGTTGTGGAATGGGATCACCATCGATAATAATTGGACCATACAGTCCATCTGCATATTGTTGAGCATTGTGCGAATGATACCAGAATGTTCCTGTTTGTGTCACATTGAACTCGTGAATGAACGAGCTATATGGAGGAATAGGACATTGAGTAATGTGTTCGCTTCCATCAGCCCATGGATTAGCTAACATATGGAGCCCATGAAAATGAATAGCAGTGGCTTGATCACGTAACTTATTTTGAATTCGAATACGTAGCTGATCGCCAAGACGAGCTCGAATCAACGGACCTGGAAACGGTCGATGGATATTCCATGAGGAATTAGCGTGATGAATGATGATCACTGATCGTGGATATCCATCAGGATTCGATGGAATCGATCGAACAATCAAATCATAATTGATTATAGCTGTATGAACTGAAATATCTTTCCAAAACAACACAGAGAATAGAATCACAACGACAAACATTTCTTATTCTGCTATGTATTTGAAGTGAAAAGAAAAAAGCTATTTATTCAATTATCAGTTCTTTATGACTGAAGTGTTGACGACAATTATGATTAATCAATGACAAATTTCAATTCAGAGAAAAGAAATGTGAAGGGTTCGTTATCTTGGACTTGATCGATTATATGTTTGAACTCTCCAATCAGAAAAGGTTTTTTTTCCTAGGAAAGCTGAAAAAGAAACAGATTATATGAGATAAAAATGCAATGAAGTACCATTATCGCTAGGATTGACGCACTTTTTTGCGTCTCGTGGAAACATAAAAAGCAACAAGAAATAAATTTCGCTGTCGATAGAATGATAAGAAGAAGGTGACAGTTTTATCGTTGTGTATGAAGACAAAAACAAATTGATCATCTCTTTTCTTCAATACTACATCAGACACTAGGAAGAATATTTAGGAATCAGGTATTACACTGAAAGGAGCCAAACTTGTGCTCAATGTTCGAACTTGTTCAATAAGACGAGACTTCTTTTAAATAAATGAAAGTTTTTGAAGTTCGACGGCTTTTGTTCGTTACCATGTCATTGAGACAAAGAAACGAACGTGCGCATAAATGTTTTTGTAGTGTGATTGCTAAAGAAAAATGCACCTGACTTCTTCAAAAAGTGTTTTCTTGTGCTTATTTTGCTTTTGATTGACGTCACATATATTTGCCAGGATAAATGTCCCATGAAGATAGATGAACAGAAATAGCGAACCGTGGGTGTGTAGGTGTGGATCAAGAAGAGATCAATACTTATACTCACACTTCAAATTTGCCTGTTTCTTTGAAAAGCTTTTCGTTAAAGACTCAATCTCTTTATATTTTGTTGTACCTTCTGCTCCTCAGTAGCTACCTGTCGCCTTACCTTTTTACCTATTGTGTTCAATGAAGACTGCCATGATCCATCTTTTATTTTTGTTGGCAATTTCAATCATGGCAATCGATTGAATATCGTTAGCTGTAGTTTTAACGTCAATTCTATTTGTGTATTGTTTGTCTATGTGAATTAGCAGCTTTCGCAACCAGTGATTTCAATGAAGACAATCGAAGAGATCGCATCGTCGTCAGCATTGATACTGACACCTCTGGCATATTTCTTATTGATGGCAATGGAGATTTCAGCACATAAATATCTTTTTCAATTAGCTCCAATCCAGCTGGCTAGATGTTAATACGTTCATTAGTGATATTTCTATTGTTCGTGTTGTTACCAATGCTGATAATAACAGTGATAACAATCTTCTGAACAATCATTTATATTCGATTCCCTGATATCCACTTTTATTGCATTCATTCTCACTGGTTAATCGATCCATTGTTGAACTGATAGAATATTCTAGATCATTCATATGCGTAAAATTTGAGGTCATTGTACAAAAATCTCAAGACATTGTACTTAAACAATAAATACCTGCGACGATCGTCCTTCTCAGGTACAGTAACTCAACATTACTTAGGAAGAAGGAAAGAATCTTTCTGAAAATTGTTAGAAGAAGTTGCATGGTCAATAGGCAGATAGACAAGTTTAAGCTGTGATGATTATTTGATGATGTGAATAATTAAAACTTATCGAGTACGATACTCAGAATGATCGTTTTCACTAATCATTGTAGTCGTATAAAGACAGTATGAAATGGGAAAAATTACTCTTTTTTGGTTGAATACTCTTCAGTTTGTCAGACAATTGAATAGGTTAGTGTGGTTTTTTTTTCTGGAGAACACATTCTTATAATCGTATTCCATGGTTTGCTGATGCTATGTTCTAGGTTAAAGCTATTTTCTAGAGACCTGTAATACTTCTTTTCCTCTAGTGTCAGTAATAGAATTAAACGGTCGTATTTTAAAAACTGGAAAGGAAGTTATCTACTCCGAAAGTTCAAAATAGAAAATCGAAGCAAAACAAATCTCTTCTATTTTCTGTTTATTCATAAAAATCATGAGATTATCATCGTCATGTGCCACTAATAAACATATTATGCATGAACGAAAATTTATATTGAATCATTAGAATAATCAAAAGCAAGAATTATGCAGCGAGGTGCGTAATATTTTTTTAAAACGATAAGACACGTGAATGTCTATTTCCACATAGCCAATCTCTTCTGGACATACAACTCGTCCAGGTGAAAGATTAAATTATTGCAAATAGCTATTGACTTGTTACTTGTGCTACGAGAAAGTAAAAGAATGGTATTTCAGCAGAGGTGTTTATGAATGACATAAATTAACTGTTAGATCAGTTTCTCATAATGAATTATTTGTTCAGTGAGTTTTTTAAATTTTTTGATGGTTTTCCAGTTAAAAAAAATTTAGGCGCATTCAAGCATCATTTCATAACTAAAATCTTTTTCTGTATATGCGCCTATAAGAACCAATGCATGTAGAGCCATTATGGATTAGACAAATCGAAGAATATATACTTACAAACAATTTCTTAACGTAAAAAATGAAAGGATACGTTTAATGTCATTATTACAAAATAAGACCATTAATATGTTTTGATAATGAAAGGTTAAAGAAGACTGTTTCAACTGTTGAGTATGTGATATTATCAGTAGATTTTTTTTTCGAAAGATGAAACTAGACATTTTAAATACACATTTACGACAGTAAGTTGTTGTTGAATGTAAAAAGTCGAGTAACCTCTGGGAGTGTACGATGTACATAACGTAAAACTGAAATGGATTTTATTTTTCATTGGTTAAGATGAAAAATTGGTTAGGCACAAATACTTTTTTCAAAATAGTTTTTTTCTAAATTATCACAAAAAAAGCAGTAGAACAATATTGTTTTCTTAAATTTAAAAATAACATAGAAGCCTAAAATCAATATGTCAGTCAGAATAGCACTAGTATTAAGATTAGTCTTGATGGTTTGATATTATTTGCATTAGAATTAATTAATGCGAAGTTATTAGTATTAAATTAGCATTAGCTTAAATTCTAATACATATGCTATCTGCGACTATATCTCTGACAGATCGTGTTCGAAAGTTCGTAATAATAGAACAAAAGGTTTTCGATAGGGTTTTAGGAACTTCTGAACTTAGAGTGTTCGAGATCGTGTTAGACTAAGTATCAATAAATGTTAATTTTATAACGACATTTCTAGATAAGACCAAATGTCTTATCTCCTTTGCTTGAGCCACTTTCGATCTACAAAAGTATGCATTTAGTTTTTCAGGATTTTATTTTATTGTTGAGAAAATTGAATATGTCCTTGTTTTTGTAGTAAAAAGATTAAAAGTGATCTTTTTATGCGAGTTATTATTATCAAAACTCTGTTGAAATACAATATAAACAGCTTATTCAGAATCAGCGTGAAAATCTACATCGAGTCACATACTTCAGCGAAATCACTTTTCAGCGAAACATGTACTTGTACTTTTCCCAAGCATTTATCTGCTAAAATTTGGTTTGTTGTTTCCCTAGTGTCAATTTTTGCATTTGACATAGAATTTGCTGAAATGCATGTGGCCCGGTATAGATTTTTACGTTGATTCTGAATATACTGTTTATTTTTTTTTTCACTAAGAAAATAATATTTTTCTACTCATTTCTTGATGATAAATTAGAAAAAGATTGTAGTCACTTAAGTTTTGATTTGAAAAAAAAAACTATTATGATTATACCTGTGTCCTTATTAGTATTTGAAACTTTTTGCAACGAGCGGGTAAGTTGATTGAAGTAAAAAGTACATACTCATCATAAGCTCTTTATATAAATCAATGAAAAGTAAAATTCACTTCAGTTTTGTATTCCTTACTGCCAGAACCATCATCTCTGTATATTTTTCAGATAGACAAGAGTTATTATTTTGTTGTTGTTATTATTGTTAATCAGTTGAGTAGAATATATCTTATTTTTACTATCGCTAATCCTTTTTTTTTTATCTAGTATTGTTGGTTTTTTTCTTATTGTATTTTGTATCTAGAGTAAATTTCTTTTGAAAAGAAAGAAAGGAAAAAACTAACTTAATACTTTCATCATAAATATCTCCTGTTGTTTTCGACAACAAAAATACTAATGTTGTTGTGTTCTATATGAATGTCACCAAAGAATATGATAATTCAATTCTTTTTCTTTTTAAAGCCTCAGCGACATGCTGGAAAACTCTGATATTTTTACTAGATCCATAAGCACTCATATAATGCTAAATGTTGATTCATTTTTCAGTGTATTGTCTTCTTATAAAGGAGAATGGTTGAGTATATTTTCAATAAAGATATTCTATCAAAAACTTGTTCAGATAATATAATTCTTAATTAAAAGCTTGACACAACACGAAGTGCTAGTAACAGATTTCAACAATTAGATAGTTTTTCATGAAGTGCAGATAACTTATCATGGTTGAGTAGTTACGAATTGAATATTCATCAAGTTAAGATTATATACTATGGAAAGAATATCTATGATTTTAGTAAATTTATTACAATCATCAATAGCCTCTCTATAAACAGGATCGAAAGTAGTACGAATTTTGACATATTAATATATATTCTTCGTAGTCTTGCTTATATATTTACAAACAGTACAATTGAAGTTATTGTTTTAGCCAGTAAATTCATCACTTCGAGGTTTATCTCTTACAGTGGCTACAAAGTGTATGCCAATGTATATTTGTAAGCAATAATTTGCAGTTTCTTCTGTTTTAATCGAATAATTTTGTTGCATTATTGTGGTCATATATATTCTAAGATGTCTTAGCTGTAGTTCATGATGAATATTGAAGAACTTTCACTCTTAGTAAGATGTATACTGATGAAACAATAATACATCTTTAGTATTATATGCATATTATAATTAATAAACATATTAGAGCTTGCTAAAAAGTAAGTGAACACCTATTTCAAATACGAAAACTTATGTTCATTTTTACTTTTAATTATGAGATATGTTTTACAAATAAATATCAAGTACCTATCGTTCTCTTTGACAATTAAAACTACGGTAACCATGAGTGTCCATAGTTTCT